CCACGGGCCAGCCACGCTCAGCCCTGCCAGCTGGGCTACCAGCCTGTCCCTATGCCCTGGGTCGTATTTTAGAGCCCTAAAATGCGCTGACCAGGTTGACTTTATCACTTACCGAAAAATCTTGTCGGACGGCTGCTCGCCCAGCACCAAGTCAAAGCCACGCTGGAAGATGGTGTACGGCCAAGGCCTGGAAGAGAAACCCAGCAGCATTACACTGGCACCATGCCCCCGCTGTCGCTCACAGCTCAAAACGCTTCCCTTGCTTAGCTCCCAGTTCACATGCAGAGAGGTCCTGGGATAAAACAGCTCAAACCAAGCCAGGACAAGGTGATAAAATAGCCCCACATCAAAGATCTTAATTTGGGGGTTCCTACAACATCAGATCCTCACTCCAGTCACAACCTGCCAACGGGTCGGTGGTGTACCGCATCCTTTATTTTGGGGTACAGCGCACTCCAGTCACCCCTGCATCATCAGCCTCACGCTTCCGCACACTCAGGTACCACTCACCTGACTCCCATTTTAGGGATTTGCGTCACAGCCATCAAATTGCAAAAAGAAAACCAAAACGCAGCTGAACCCCCTCTCTCTGAGGCCTTTGCAGGGGAGCATGCCAGGTCTCGGGTCGCACCTTATTCCCCTTGGGTTTCATTGTTTCGGGAGGGGAGCTGAGGAAGCCTCAGCCCCTGTGGGACTTTGCAGAGGGCTCTGGAAGACAAGCTGGAAGCTTGGAGCCAAGCAGGAGGCTGGAGAGCTGATGGCCCCGTCTCCTCCATCCCTGCTGCCCTAGATAGAACAGGGTGATGTGCAACCACGATTCGGTGGCCAGTGCCCTTTGGTGGGACACCCATGGCCATGACACCTTGGGAGATGCATCCGCAGCAGCACAGCCCTGCTGGCAGAGGATGACTTGCAGAGTGAGGCTGATGAAGCAGAGCAAGGGGAGGCACAGAGACCCAACCACAGCGGGCTTTGAATCAGGCAACATGAACCCTGCTCCCAAACCCTAAAGCTCCAAATCCCTTTTGCAAGAGCTCAGAGCTGGGGACAGAAAGAGATATTTTTCCATCCCATCGCATCGCTGCTGTTAAAATTCAGGGTGAGAGTATCAGGTGCTGCTGACAAGCCTGGGGATTTTCTCCAGAGGCAATTACAGCTCTCCTGCACAAGCACTTTAATTTCTAATCTGAAGTTTTTTCAGCAAGGACAAAAAAAAAAAAAAAAAAATTCTGATTGCAGGATTACAGCACGCCGTCTCATTTCCTCGCTGGGATACAATGCCATTTTCCCATCCAGTCGGCTGGGAGCGGGGGATTACATTCAGCCCACAGATCGGATTGCCCTGAATGAGGTCAGCTTCGGCCGGAAAGCGATGCGCTCCTTGCGTCTCGCCGACACCTTGAATGCTTGGCGCCTCCGCCTTCCAGTGCTCCCGCAGATGGGTTTTATTCTTGCTTCTCAGGAGCACGCCAGGCAGGGAACAAAAGCAGAGGCAAGGTATTGTTCCCCATCGACTCGGGTGGAAAAGTGGTTGTGAAGAGCCGCTCTTGGCTTGCAGCGGAGCTCAGCGCCGCGGCAGGAGCTGCAGAGGCACGGTGGTCGCTTGACCTCTGCCAGATGGCACATCTGGCAGCCCACGGATGCAAACACGATGGGGACATGTGGCTGGTGGGCTTGGAACTGCCTGGGATGTGGAAATCAGCACCCAGGCCACGTTGCATCCACCCAGGGTGCAATTTCCAACTGTGGCTAAAATTCCTGTGATGATGGCTTTGAGCCGGGGAAGAGGTTTCCATGTGCCAGGAAGGGACTGTGTGGCATCTCCCCAGCCTGCCCCACTTTGCCTGTACTCAGGGTCAAAAAAGGCCCATTAAAAGGCATCTTCAGCCTTTAGCTATGTGCCTACGTGGCAGGGACAACCAACGCGTCTGTGAGGACATGGTACCTTCTGCAGGTAATCCCTGAGACAGTCTCCATACAAGACCTCCAGCTCAACGAGAGGCACTTATCCCTCCTCACCTCCAAGAGAAGCTCTCCAGGAGCTCAGCGCTGATATTTCCACCCACGTACCCTTGCTGACTTGTGAATTCTGCTGCAGAGGACGAGGTGAGATCTCCTCCCCCAGGCACACCTCTCCTACTCCATCGCTGCCTTTTGCCCCCTGTGCCTCTGCCGCTGTTTCACCCCCTCCTTCCTCTCCCGTGCATGCAAGCTTGTGCCCGCGTGGCTGTCTCCCTCCCCACTTTCTGTCATCACTAGAGGCACCTCACTGCTCTGGGTTTTGTTGCTCTTGGCAGGTATTTTGGTCGCATGGTCTTCAGAGCATACAAAGGAAAGCGAGACTGATGAGAAGCAGCTCTGCGGCTGATCAGGTTGGATTAAACGGGCCAGAAACGACAGCTCTGAGCTCCCTGCAAGCCTTGGCACTCAGGCAGGTACCTGAAACAACAAAATGGGGGATCACCAGGGCAGTTGAGAACCAGCAGACTCCCCACACTCAGTCAGCAAGTTCCCAAGGCCAAGGCGCTGCCAGTGCATCCCCAGGATGATCTTCAGGCCTCTCTGCTTTTTCCAGCTGGACCATCAGCTAGGCTTTGCTCCACACCTGGGTTTGAGTGGAAGCTCCCAAAATACCTGCTAAGCCCTCCAGACCTGGTGCTGCTGGTGATGTTCTGACCCACCTCAACAGAACCCCGGCCACGCTCGAATTGCAGCCCCACAGGGACGAGGCCAGACTGACTTCCAGCGTTGAGAACTGCGCTCCTGACGGTCCTCACTCCCTGCAAAGCCCTTCTAGACAAGATGGGTGGGATGAGGGATCAAAGCCCAGTGCCTGCAGGATGCAACCACGATGACCTAACCCAGAGCAGTTGGTTTGAAGGGAGCTGGCAGGGAGGTCAGAGGGGCTGGGGGCTTTGCAGAAGGCACTGAGTAGCTGCTGCACGTGAGCGTGGCTGAAACGCCACTGGAGGAGAAGGTGGTCAGCTCTTACGCACTGAAATAGGTGACTTCGTGTCTGGTTCCCTGACCCCTTGTGCTCCTGGGGTGTTCCACTCAGGGAGTGGCACAAGGAAGGCCATGCCAAACCCCATCATGGCATCAAAGCACCAGCTCCAAGTGCATGCCGGGAGAAAGCGGCGCCGACAAAGGTGCTCACCGCATCCTTTCACTAGCAGCTCAGGAGTTCAAGCCCAGGGTGAGCAGACCAGAAGCATCGCTG